TCTCTCTCTCTCTCTCTCTCTCTCTCTCTCTCTCTCTCTCTCGGTTCTCTCTCTCTCTCTCTCCTCCATTCTGCTAGCCAAAGACTACTTTGTCCCCTGTCTCTGGACTCTTCCAGATGCCCCTGGCTATACTTTGCCACATGTGTACAATAAAAACCTTCTCAACCATACCTTGGAGTGGTCATGTCCTCACGGTATACACATAGTATCTGATCACCACATACACACAAACAAACAAACTTTACATTGTTTTTTAAATGAGAGCGCAATTGTGACAGAAACAGAGGAACAAGAGAGGAGAAAACAACAAAAGCAGCGTAGTACTGATTCTTCCTAGAGAACACTGATCTCTAGCAAACGGTACCAACACTCAGATCAGGGACCACAGGCATAGCTCTGAGCTACGGTACTTGGGAGATCGAGGCAGCTCATAACTCCAGGAGACCAGACCAAAGACTGCTAAAACAGTGAAATACTGTCAAGGTTGCCTAGAGCAAGCTGGAGAATGATGGTAATCATTAAACCAGTAGGCCCAGGACCATGCCATGTGGTGGCTGATTCCAGTTCTAGGATACCAAACATGCAACATACGTGAAGACAAAATATTCATGCACATAAATAAATAGTTGGGGTTTTGGGGACTTGTTTGTTTGTTTGTTTGTTTTTAAAAAGGTTTTATAAAAAGTACTTTACTTGAGCCGGGCATAGTGATGCATGCCTTCAATCCCAGCACTCAGGAAGCAGAGGCAGGCGGATCTCTGTGAGTTCGAGACCAGCCTGGTCTACAGAGCAAGTTCAGGACAGCCAAAGATACACAGAGAAACCCTGTCTCAGGAAGACCAAAAAAAAAAAAAAAAAAAGTACTTTACTTCAATATAAAAATATCTGAAAACTAGCGGGGCATAGTAGTTCACGCTTCAAATCCAGTACCCAGGAGTACCCAGGAAGCAGGCAGATTTGTGAATTTAAGGCCAGCATGGTCTACAGTGAGTTCCAGTCCAGCCAGAGCTACATGGTGAGACTCTGTCTCAAAACAACAACAAAAGAGGAGAAACAAACAAACAAACAAAAATCCTGAAAACCCATTTAAGAGAAATCTGCCTTTGCTTCTGTAATCTTAACCAGGTTGGTAGGAAGAGGGGTGAAGTCTGAAACCCAGATTAAACTACTAATACTGTGTAGCACTGCCTCTGTGACAGGCAATGATCTGTGCACTTGACAAGGATAGAGAACAGGTAAACATGCATGAGCAATCTCTACCTAGACGATCAGCTGTCAGAAAATTCTCCATTTCCTAGTATAAACTAGTCTGAGGCGAAGGAGGCAGTGTACCTCGGTGGTAGAGGGCTTGTCTACCCTGCACAAGCCCCTGCATTCAGGGTTCTGTCCCGGAGGGCAGACAGCACGCCTACCTAGGCCACAGTGTTAACAAACAACATTGTAAAATAAACAGTTTACAAGTTAGTACGTGTCCCAACTCTATCGCCTACAGTAACTGACTTCTAGAGTTGTGCAGAAATAAATTCTGTGTAAAAAGCATTCCACCAGGAGGAATAGGATTTCTCCGACGGCATATTGGACCAGAGTCGAGAACCTGGCCTGGCAAGATTGGACCAGTGTCGAGAACCTGTCCTGGCACAGAGGCAAGGGTAACTCTCTAGTGATCCTGTGCACGAAGGAGTAGGAAGGAGAGCTTGCAGTCCAAAGTGGCTTAGCAAAATCCAGCGGACCAGACAGTCTAACACTCCCGCTGTCAGCTAACCTCGACGCTATGGACCGGTCCCCAATCTCCCTATCGCCCTCTCTCAGGCGATCTCCCCGAACCCAGCAGACATCACCTGTCCTGGATTCTAACGAGCCTGTGGAGATAAGGGAGCAGCCCATAACTCGGGTGCCCCAAAGCCTGGCAGTCGAAGACAACGAGGGACAGAGGGAGAAGTCCACTGGAGCCCTGGTCCGTCCCACCCGCCACGCGGCTTCAGCAGAAGGAAGTCCAGCACGCAGTGCCTTGCAGCCCCAACAGAGCAGAGACAGGAGACGCGGGGACTGGAAGCAGCTGTGCAACCGGTCTGCACTGGAGCCCCTTACCTGGTCCCAAAGGGATGCACCCGGCGACTGCCACCAGGCGCCGCTGACTTGGAAGCCTGACCTGGAGGACCGCGGCAAGGCCGGGGAACACCCCCCTCGCACTACGCCCCCTTTTCTGACCAATCACGGTCCACAGGCTCCCGCCAGCCACGTGGGCGACTCTGCCCCTCCCGCTGGGTCGCTCGCCAACCTGCCCCAGCCTTCCGCCACTCCCAAGCCCGCCTGCGCAGTAGGCGGGCGCTTTGGCGCGCTTGCGCACTTTGGGTAAAGAGGAGCAGAACCCCGCCCCATCCCGCTACTCTGCTCCTTCGCTGTGCGTGCGAGGGACGTCAGGGGCGGTGCCGCAGCAGTTACCCCTGGTAACGGGGGAGGCTGAAGGAGGAGGAGGCGGAGGCGGAGGAGGGACTCGGCTTGAGGATGGTGAGTGTGGGGGGTCCCCGATCCCTGTGGTTCTGGCCAGTCACCCCGGTCCTATCCCCAGGCCCAGGGCGGGGCGCTGCGCTTAAAGCCAAGGGGGACGTGGGATGGCTCTCGCCTGGCTCTGTAGGGTTCTAGATCGGTTTCGGGAGCGAAGGGGGAACCCCAAAGGTGGGCCCTGGAGGGAGGCCTAGGCCTTGGGAAGAAGGAGGGAGGGATTTGCGATGAATCGGAGGTTTGGGGAAGGGTTTTGCGGAGTGCTTCTCTGGTGGGGAAAGAACCTGGGTTCCATCATCATTCTGGCCGCTGGGTTGAGGGCGGCTCCGGGGAGCTGCGGAGATCAGGCCAGGCACACAGGCTTAGATCATCCTATGGAGTCGAACTCTCGGCGCCTCGGAACTGTGGGGTCCGCCTGAGACCCGGCCAGAAGTGGGATAGGCGCGGTGTACTGTCTTTGAGATCACCCTGGCGGCACCAGGGAGTTGTAACCTAGCTTTCCTAGATGCTCGCGTCTCTGAGTGAGGTGTGTAGGGAGTAAGTCCCAAGACAAAAAGAGGTACCGCCGGGAATGGATGCCTGATTTCAGGTCTCCGTGGTAGGTGCGCTCCTGCAGCCCCAACTTATTCTCTGAAAGTTCCGCAAGGTCTAATGGTTGTTGATGAGCATTTTTCTTTCCACATTTATTCCATGCTGATAGAAGCAAACTAGCCTCCCATGTCCTAGCATTTCCTTCAAACTTGTTGCAAGCGTCCTTTTGCATGTGGCCACACGAAAAGTCTTCGTCCCAGTAAAGTCCCTCAAACTAAAAAGAATGAGAAACTATAGAGAGTGAGCATCAATTTGGAACAAGCCTTTTCTCCGTTAGCCTTAAAAAAATGAAGGCTTCACCAACTTTTAAGTTACAGTATGTGACAGATTTAACCGGAGACACTCAGTTTCTTGTTGATTTTTTAATTATTATTTTATTTAATGTGTATGGGTGTTTAGCCTGCATATATGCTTTTGTACCACGTGTGTGCCTGCTGCCTGCAGAGGCCAGAAGAGGGCTTTGGTTGCCAGGAATTGGAGTTAGAAATGGCTGGGAGCCACCATGTGGATGCTGGGAAGTGCATACTGTTCTCCGGGAAGAATGCTAGCATCTGAGCATCGATCCAGCCCTTCTTATCGATTTGTATGCGGTAGATGGAGAGTAAAATATAGGTCAGGGGAAATGAATATTTTTAGAGCTAATCAAAGAAAACTTGGTTTCAAGACATTTAGAGCAGGTTGGCTGGAAAATATTGAACTACTTCTGTTGGCTTAAGAAGGCTAGGCTATAGCTCAGTTGGTAGAGGTTTGCTTAGTAGGCATAAAGCCCTGATAAAACGGAATGGGACGGTCCCGCCTATCATCCCAGCACTCCAGAGATGGAAGCAGGAGGATCCAAGGTTCAAGGGCTACATAGTGATTTCCAGGCCAGCCAAGAATACGTGAGACCTGGTCTCAAAAAAGAAGAAAATAGGTGTCCAGGAGGAAAATTATACAACTACTTCTGGTCATTTTTTGTTTGTTTGTTTTTGTTTTGTTTTGTTTTTTCAAGATAGGGTTTCTTTGTGTAGCCTTGGCTGTCCTAGAACTAACTCTGTAGATCAGGCTAGCTCAAACTCATGGTCAAATTATTGAACAAATGAATTTTGACAAAAAATAATCAGTTTACATTGTCAAATTGTTAAGTAGAATTATTTAATCTAAGGTTGTCAATCACATTTCATACTTGTTACATTTGCAGTTATTTCTAACCTCAGGCTAAACAGATTTTAACAAGTGTTTTCTTTTTATTATTTACACACGAGCTGCCCATTTAAAGGCTAAGTTTATCTTAACAAATGAATACATATATAAATATTTACACAGAAAATAAATGGATTTGAGAAAGTGGCCATGGCGACTCACACCTTTAACCTCAGCATTTGGGAGGTAGAAGGAGGAGGATCACGAATTCAAGGCCAGCCCGGGCTACATGAGACTCTGTCTTGTAATAAATAGATAATTTTAAAATTAAATGAAAATAGGGAGAATGGCTCAGAGGTTAAGAGCACTGGCTACTCTTCCAGAGGACCTGAATTCAATTCCCAGCAACCGTATGGGGGCTCACAATCATCTGTAATGAGATCTCTTGCTCTCCTTTGGCATGCAGGCATATATAATAAATAATTTTTAACAGTCTAATAAATCTTTTTTTAAAAAAAATTAATGAGAATAATTAGAACTGCAGTTAAAAAGACCTGCCAGTCTGTGTGTGGTGGCATGGTGCATGCGTGTAATCCCAGTACTCTAGATGCTAAATTTAGAGGATCACCATGAGTTAAGAGGCCATCCTGGGCTGCTACAGTTAGTTCCAGGTCAGCCTCAGCTAGGGAGCCCCAACTGCCATCCCCTTAAAAGAAAGAGCCACGTGCCAAAACAAGAGAAAATGAGATTTGTTATAAATGAGAATCATTAAAGGTGTCTTACTTTCTTCAGTTTATCAGTTGAGTGGACTGTATAATTGTCTGATTGCTTAATTTATAATTATAGGTCATAATAAGTGAACCACTGCTCATGTTTCTAGGTGTAGATTGCCTCTATATGTAATTGTATAACAAATTGACAGTATTGTTGAATATCACTAAAGTATTCAATGTTCAAAGTTAAATTTAAGGAATGTATTTGTGGGGGGCTGGAGAGATGGCTCAGAGGTTAAGAAAACTGACTGTTCTTCCAGAGGTCCTGAGTTCAATTCCCAGCAACCACGTGGTGGCTTACAGCCATCTATAATGAGGTCTGATGCCCTCTTCTGGCATGTAGGCAGACATGGAAACTAACAAAAAAATAAATAAAAATTTAAAAAAATGTATACGTGTTAGTGTTTTGCCTGAGAGCATGTGTGTGCACTCTGGGTTCTGAGCATCCCTGGTGCCCAAGGGAGTCAGGAAAGGGCATTGGAGCCACTGTGTGGGTGCTGAGAACTGAACCCCAGTCCTCTGCGAGAGCATCAAGTGCTTTTTTTTTATATCATATTTTGCCTACATGCATGTATTTGTATCACATGAGTTTGTGATATCTTTCAGAAATCAGAAGGCTTCAGATCCTTTGGAACTGGAGTATAGATGGTTGTGAGCTGCCCTGTGGGTGCTGGGAATGGAACCCAGGTCCTCTGGGAGGAACAAGTGCTCTCAACCACTGAGCCATTTCTCCAGCTCCAAAATAAATTTAAATATTTTATTGGATTTATTCATTTTATTTGATGTGTATTTTGCATGTGTGTATGTGTACCACGTATCCTTGCTAACCTCAGAGATCAGAAGAGAGCATTGTCTCCCCTAGCACTGGAGTTACAGATGGTTGTAAATGACCACGTAGGTGCTAGGAACTAACCCAGGTCCTCTGCAGGAGTAACACATGCTCTTAACTGCTGAGCCATCTCTCCAGCCCAAAGAGATTTTTAAAAGTGAACAATAAGCAGCTAAGATTGTGGGATGTGGTGGTGCACACCTTTAATGCCAGCACTCAAGAGTCAGAAGCAGGTGGTTATCTAAACTAGAGGCCAACCTGGTCTACATAATGAGTTTCAGGCTAACCAAGGCTACATTGTAAGACCCCTCCTTCGAGAGAGGGAGCAGGGAGAGAGGGAAGGAGGGAAGCTATGATAAATTAGTTGAGATTGTTTGAATTTACAAATCCATTTTCTTTCTTTCTTCCAAAGTGTAAGTTATTCTTAGAACTGACAGTGGAACCCTAGATTTAAATGGTCAATGTCATGATTAAGTGTGTCACATGTAATATCCCATGAGTCCTATGGATAAATGTACCATTGAAAAGTGAGCTATGCCAGGCCTAGTGGCACACCCCTTTAATTCCAACACTTGGGAAGCAGATGGTCTCTGTGAGTTCAAGGTCAGCCTGGTCTACACAGCAAGTTCCAAGACAGCCAGGACTACACAGGGAAACTGTGCCTCAAAAATAAATAAATAAATAAATAAATAGAAAGAAAGAAAAGAAAAAAGTGAGCTGTGTGTTTTAAATTCCAGCTGTGACTAGTTTATTTTTTCTTTTTAATTTTGAGTGACTGAAATAAAAGTATTCTGGGCTTCCCTGAACATTTAGAGTCAGCTGTTTTACCTGGCCTTAGGATCACATTTTTTTTATTTATTTTATTTTATATGTTTTGCCTGCCAGAAGAAGGCACTGGATTTTCTGGAACTGGAATTATGAATGATTCTAAGTCACTATCTGTCTGCTGGGAATGAGACCTAAGTCTCTACAAAAAGAACGCAACAAGGACTGGAGAGATGACTCAGAGGTTAGGAGCACTGACTGCTCTTCCAGAGGTCCTGAGTTCAATTCCTGGCAATCACATGGAGGCTCACAGCCATCTATAATGAGATCTGATGCCCTCTTCTGGCATGCAGGCAGAACACTGTATACATAATAGTAAAAAAAAAAATCAATTTAAAAAAAAAAAAAGGAAAGAGCAACTAGTACCCAAACGGCAAAGCCATCTCTCCAGCCCTCCACTGGGGTTTCTAGGCAAGTGCTCTACCATTCTTGATAAGACACAAAATGATGACAATTTAGCATATCTCCTAATCACTGTTATTTACCATGAACTCAATTCAACAGTTATTTATGGGCTACTTCCTACTTATATGTAATTATACACATACAACTTTTGAT